AACAACAACAACAACAACAGTGGGCAGAGACGAGTCATGCAAAAAGGGATGACTTTATAATTGAAGACTTCAGCCAGTGATGTGAAACACAGACTACCTCCTTTGAATTATGCAGCAACTGACATAGCATCTTAAAGTTTGATTCACTGAATATTGTTCTAAAATGAACATCAAGTGTCTTATCTGAAGCATCATGACTTGTGACAGAACTCTCTAAAACATCTACCATTGTCATAGGCTTCTCTCCATAAGTTCTCTGATTCTTGCTGAAGATGATCCAGTTCATGTGTTTTTTTATTTCTATATAATTTATTTTGATAACTGATGAGGTAGAATGAGCCATGGCCAACACTGACATGCTTACAGCCTTCCAAAAGTTTCCCTCCTGTGTCTCTCTCTAATACCTATTGAAATATTCTTTCTTGGCAAGGTCTTTTTCCATGTTCATCATAAATCTAGCTGCCCACTCTGAGCTCCCAGGTCATCTACAATGATCACTGATGATAAGGTCTATCTCCCCATAATGAGCTCACCCAATCTCTTCATTCAGACAGCTTATCTGACTATGCATTTATCACCCATATAGCAGCCAGAGGTTTCACTCAGGTTTTTCCACTTTGAAGGTATCAGTCTTTTCCTGTGCATCTTTCATGACGTAAAATCTGATGTAACTCATCACTGATGGCACTACCGCAGTCACTACATTTGTAAGGTTTCTCTACTGTGCAAACTGTTTTGTCTCCTGAGGGTGCATGCGTGGTAAAGGTTTGTCCCACCTGGGCTGCCTTCCTATCTGCTGTGAGCCCACAGGTGTTTAATGATGTCTGCACTTGCGCAGCCACTGTATTAACAGGGTTTTCCTCCTGAACTCCACCACTTGTACGTGAGGAGGTAGAACTCTTTGGAAAAGAATTTTCCACCTTGTCCGAACTATCATGTTTTTCTCTTGTGTGCAACATTCCCTTGTGATAAACAAGGCATGACAAGTGGGAGAAAGCTTTTCCACAATCGGAACATCCATATGGTTTTTCTCCTGTGTGGGTTCTCCGATGTCTATTGAGGCATGACTTGTCTCTGAAAGCTTTCCCACACTCACTGCATATATAGGGCTTCTCTCCTGTGTGAATTCTCTGATGGTTAATGAGACCAGACTTGTGGGAACATAATTTTCCACATTCAGTACATACAAAGGGAGTCTTTCCTGTGTGAAATCTCTGGTGAGATATGAAGCGTGTCTTCTGGCTGAAGCCTTTCCCACAGTCACTGCATAC